GCACCCTGCGGCCCCAGCTGAGCAGCCTTTGTTCCCGCGAAAAGGAGTTTTCCTCCCTTTTTCTGGGAGAGCCTTCCTCCGCTGGCTGAGGGAGATCAGATCCCTGTCCTGGCCTAGATTCTACCAACAGCTTGTGGGAAATTCTGGACTTCTGGAAAGTGGCTGTTTGGGGGAGTGAGTTGGAAGGAACAGAATCTCTGTGGAACTCTCTGGAGCTGTGGCCTGAGTCAGGATTGGGAGATCAGGAGGCCTGGGAATCAGTTCCAGCCACATGGGGTCTGGGACTCTGGTGGTAGGTTCTCTCTGTTCTCTGGACAGAAAGAGGACAATGTCACCTTTCTCCAGTGCCCCCTCAGCGCCTGGAGATGAGTCTCAGTCTCCAAATTCTCTCTGCCTCCAAGAACTTCCTGCTGTCCCCATTTGCCAGCTAAGGGCAAGATGACGCTGGTACAACCCATGGGGATGTACAGAGAACTGGGGAAGGAAGGAAGGAAGGAAGGAAGGAAGGAAGGAAGGAAGGAAGGAAGGAAGGAAGGAAGGAAGGAAGGAAGGAGGGACTGAGTTGATCATTTATCAGGAACCCATCTGGGGTAGCTAACCTGGTCCCATGATACCAGCATTAACCCACTCCTGAAGACAGAGCCCTCACGAACCCATCCCCCCGACACTTCCCACTCTCAACACGGTTAGACTGGTGACCATTTTTCTGACGCAAACTTTATAAGACCCACCGAGGACCCGGCCTCTCCGACTCCCCAGGCTGCGGTCCTAATGTGCCTTCCGTGTGGACCTCGCTATGGGCTTTCCCTATGCACAGTCCTGGTTTTGGAAGCCCCTACTCATTGGGGTTTTGTGTCCTGTGCTGGGGCCAGCAGGGTCGCGTACAATATTGTTCCACTGATATGGTTCAAGCTGCCCAGCCCCCAACAGCAGATTTTCCAAGCAGGTTTGCAGCCTAGGTTGTCCTTGCAGCGGGGACAGAATGGGGACAGCCTGTGTCAGCTCTGGCCTCAGAAGGATCTGTAGGCTGAGGTGAGTGGGCAGCCTGGCTACTTCAGTCCTTAAAACCATCATTGCCCTGGCTTTCCTGCCCCAGGCTATCTCTGAAGAAGAACACATCCTAAATGTTCTCTTGCTCAGGACCTAAGCAACCCACTGGCCACTGGTGGGTTTCCTGGGTTTGTCATATGGGCAAACAGAACATAAAAAGGCTCTCATCTTAAATGCTACAACCTCCCCCCACCTCAAACCTACATCTGAAAAGAGAAGACATACATCCCACCTATGAAAAAACCATTTCTTGGAGATCTGCAGAAGGATGGAGCCTGGCTGGTACTGGAGCTACAGTCAGCCCAGCTGGGACAAGATTCTATCTAGGTGTCCCCTGTGTTCACACTGGTCTCATCATCTTGCCTCAGGCAAGGCATGCAGCTCTGTTTCTGCCCCCAGGGGTCTGGAGGATGCCAGTGGGAGACTGGAAGATGCTTGTTCAGTTCTGAGGCTGTACAGCTGAGAAGTGTAGGGGTAGGGCATCCCCGGGGTGATGAGTGAGTCCCCTGCTCCTCATTCTGCCAGAGCATAGTCCTGGGTGTGCTTTGTTCTATTCCTAGGTGTTCTGATGAAGAGTCCTTGTTGCTCACAGTGGTGGCCTCAATGGCACGCTGTGTGTGAACTGTCTTCCACGAGCATCTTTCTCCTGTTCTGTGACTTGCACTCTCTGGGGTCACCTGCCCAGCTCTGGATCTAGATCCAGATGATAAAAGACTTCAACAGGTGTTCTTATTTCAGCTTTTTATCTGGGGAGTACCCAGTCTGAGAGACATACCTTTCAGAGGGTCCCCAAAGACATCATATACGTAAGGGGGAACCAAGGTTTTGATGCCCCAGGCCATGTCCCAATCCTAGTTAGGATACTCCCAGGGAACAATGGGGGGGGGCTGAAAAGTTCACAGTGTGACCTGACCTATTACTTCTGTTCTGCATAGAAGAAGGCAGAGAGGGGGCTTTGGTGACCTGAGACTCAGTGGCATCAGAGAGTGGCCTACAACCTGGCCACTATGAACTTGGATGAAGTAGTGCTGTAGAGCAGATGTTCTCAATCTTCCTAATGCTGCAACCCTTTAATACAGTTCCTCATGTTGTGGTGACCCCCCAACCGTGAAATTATTTTCATTGCTACTTCATAACTATAATTTTGCTATTGTCATGAATTATAATCTAAATATTTTTAGAAATGGAAATATGCCATTTGCCAAAAGGGTCATGACCCACAGGTTGAGAACCACTGCTATAGAGCAAGGTCACACTCTGGCCTGGAAGAGCCAGGGCCATGCTGAAGCCCTGTCTGTGTGGCTTGTGTGCTGGAGCATTGTGTCATGTTCCTGGCTCCAGGCCCTGCGATTGTCCTCACTCTCTCCCGCTCTGGCTTTTGCCTGGTGTGCCTTTAGTTCTAGCCTCCTTCCTTGCCTGGTGAATTACTTCACAGATAACAACCAAATTTGGGTGACTTAAAACCACAGAAATGGATGATCTCACAGGTCAGGGCACCAGAGTCTGGGTTAGTAGGGAGGGCAGGGCTATGCCCTACTGTTCTGTCATCTTTTTTTCAAAAGATTTATTTATTTGTTATGTATACAGTGTTCTGCCTGCATGTGTTCATGCAGGCCAGAAGAGGGCACCAGATCTCATTACAGGTGGTTATGAGCCACCATGTGGTTGCTGGGAATTGAACTCAGGACCTCTGGGAGAGCAGCCAGTGTTCTTAACCATTGAGCCATCTCTCCAGTCCCGTTCTGCCATTTTTTTTCCTGAGACAGGGCCTCTCACTGGCTTGGAGCTCACCAAATAGGTAAGGCTGCCAGGTTAGTGAACCCCAGACATCTGCCTGTTTCTGCCTCCCAAGTTCTAGGATTACAAGGATGTGCTCCACATTGGCTTTTTATGTAGGTACTAGGGATCAGTCTTGGTTCCTAACATGGTAAGTACTTCATTGACTGAGCTCTCTCTCTCCCCAGCTTCATGAGGCCCCTTAAGCTTTCTTAGAAATAGGGTGACCAGCCATTCAGATTTCATTTTATTGCTGTGATAAAACACTCTGAACAAAAGCAACTTAGAGGAGAAAAAGGGTTTATTTCACCTTACACTTCCAGGTCACAGTCCACAGCTCATGCAGCTAGCCTTTTTATACAGCTCAGGACCAACTGGCTAGGAATGGTACTGCCCACGATGGGCTGGATCCCCCCACATCCATCATCAATCAAGAGAATTCATTACAGACATGACTGCAGGCCAATCTGACTCTTCAGTTGATGTTTCCTCTCCCTAGGTGACTTAAGATTGCGTCAAGTAAACCATAAAAACTAACAAGTACACCTGCCATTCTGGTGTGTTTGCTACTATCACAGCATCAGCATTTTAAGACCAGTGTCCTGGGAAATCTCTTTGTCCAGGCTAACCAGTCCTTTCTATCACCTTCCTTAGAGATCCCAGGAGGCTCTCCCTGGGCTGTGACCAGGAAAGCATTGTAATGAACACTCCATCCTAGTTACTGAAGAATATGTGTCCAGCATCTGGGCTTTCCTGGTGGCATGGAAAATGGAGACACCACCTGGGAAGGTAGGACAGGCTCCAGGGAGCAGAGGTGGTCAGGGCCTGTGTGTGACCCTAGGGCCTAGGAACCCTGCAACAACCCATGGCATCCTCTTCTTGCCTCTCGACTGGGAGGCTGCTTGGTCTCATCAAATTTAGATTAGAGATGTGATTTTGGGGAATGCCTGCTGCTCTTCTGAGACTTAGGCTATCCCACCTCCACTCTGGGTAAACAGGGGCCCCATCTGCTGCCCCCTAGTTTCTGCTGCTTGCCTTCCTTCCTGGATGGTACCACACTTGTGCTGGGTGCCTGTGGAGGTCAGAAGAGGGTGTTGGATGCCTGCAAACTGGAGTTAATAGTTATGAGTCGTCATGTGTTTGCTGGGAATTGAACCTGGGTCCTCTGGAAGAGCAGTCAGTGCTCTTTACCTGCTGAGTCATCTTTCCAGGCCCCAAACCTGGCTTTTATGTGGGTCATGGGGCATCAAATTCAGGTCCTCATGTTTGTGTGGCTAGCATTATATTGACTGAGCCATCTCCCCAGCCCATGGGCCTCCCCAACATTTTGAGTTCAGACTCATAGTCTCCAATGTACCCCAGGAATGGAGGCTCTAGTGTGGATCTGAGACTTTTTGGGTGAGAAGAAGCCAGCCTGGCCTCAGAGAGTCTGGCTCAGTTCCTGGGTATCTCTGGACCCTTCCCTGCCCCCCAATACAAATAGAAACCAGTTTCCATGGCAAGGTGAGGTGTGTGTGGGCGCTGGGGTGTGGGTGGGAACAATGCTTCATTAGGAGGCTTCTAATGAAATGGAGATCTTCCAAGGCAAATGTTAATTGCAACCTGCAAGCACAGATGTTTCTGGGATGGAAAGAAAGGCTGCAGGTAGGGAAGGTCAACCTGCCACTGTGGGAGGGAGCAGGTGGGACTGGCCTGGCCTGCTTGCCCACTGTACCCCAGAGCATCAGGGATCCTGGAGGCCTCTGAGAGTGTGCCAGTCACGTCACAGAGCATCTTGTCAACCAAGTGCTGGGCTTGCCTGCAACTTTCCCGTTGGCTCCAGAAGGGTTTGCTCTGTGTAGACTGATACAGGTTTGGGGTATTCCGTGTCTGGACTGAGATTCCCAGGGAGACCTGGGAACAGCACATGGGCTGGGAATCAATGAGGTGAGGCAACCTCCCTTCTTTTTCTACAGACCCAAGTGATGCATTTGGTGGAGAAGCATTTATTATCTACTGTGTTCTAGAAATACTCATCTAGTTCCTGCCCTTGGTAGGTGGCAGTGAGAAATGAGGGTCAGTAGTCGCTGCCCCAGTGGGGACTCGCAGTCTAATGGGGGAGGTGGTCAGAACAAGAATCCGTGCGGTGGTTTGAAAGAAAATGGTGCCCAGAGGGAGTGGTACTATTAGGCGGTGTGGCCTTGTTGGAGGAAGTGTGTCACTGTAGAGGTGGGCTTTGAGGTCTCCTATACGCTCAAGCCATGTCTAGTGAGACAGATCATTTCCTGTTGGCTGAGAGTCAAGACTTGACTGCCAGCTCCTTCTCCGGCACTGTCTGCCTGCACACCACCATGTCCCACCATGATGATAATGGACTAAACCTCCGAAAATGTAAGCCACCCCAGTGAAATGTTTTCCTTTATAAGAGTTGCGGTGGTCATGGTGTCTCTTCACAGCAATAGGAACCCTAAGACATTTGGTAAGTCATGGTTTGGTGCTGGTTAGTTTTAAATGTCAACTTGCCACCACTTAGAAGAGAGGGACTGCCTGGGTCAGGTTGGTCTGTGCGTATGTCTGGGGGATTGTCTTGATTGTTGACCGATGTAGGAAGATCCAATCCAGTGTGGGTGGTGCCATTCCTCAGTGTTGTGTTGCTGGAGGGCTTCTCTCCAGGTCTCACCAAGCCCCGCAGTCCCACAACCCACATATAAAATAATCACTCAGACGCTTATATTACTTACAAACTGTATGGCCGTGGCAGGCTTCTTGCTAACTGTTCTTATATCTTAAATTAACCCATTTCTATAAATCTATACCTTGCCACGTGGCTCGTGGTTTACTGGTATCTTCACATGCTGCTTGTCCTGGAGGTGACTGGCAGTGTCTCCCCCTCCTTCTTCCTGTTCCCCCAATTCTCTTCTCTCCTTGTCCCACCTATACTTCCTGCCTGGTCACTGGCCATCAGTGTTTTATTTATATAGAGCGATATCCACAGCAGTGTTGGGTCCTAAGTAGCACCAGAGAGGAGAAAGCTGGCAGGGCATGAGAAGACAAGCAGTTGTCATGGATCTGTTCGTCTCTCTGCTCTTGACTGTGGATGTGATGTGCTTAGCTGCTAAGTTCCTTCCTTGAATTCCCCAAAATGATGGACTGTAACCTGCCTTTGTAAGCTGAATAAACTGTTGACCGGCTGATGTTGCTTTTGGTCAAGGTGTTTGTTGTGACAATAGAGAGGAAGATATGGCAAGCGTCTTGGAGGGATTCAGAACCTAAAATTAGGCAGGAGGGTGCAAGCAGTTGCTTGTAGTATTAGCATGGCTGGATAATTTACTGGATGCAAGAGAAAGTGAAGGCTGGAACCCTGGCACAGAGTTGAAGTTGATAGTGGCCCGAGTACTTCTTGGTGAAGGCAGAGACAAAGGTGGGGTGGCATGGTTGGCTATGGTGGAGAAAAGAGGCCTTGATGAGTCAGGGTGGGATGAAGAGGGTGTGTTCTACCCATCATGTTGTCTCCAAGGAGACCTCCAGGCTCTGAATCTTCCTGGTCTCTGTCCTCTAGGCCATGGTAGCTCTGGTCTCTGGATCACTTTCCTAAGGACAGGAGACATGGAATGACTTGGAGCCTCACCCAGTGCTGACAGAGGGTTTTGCCATCCAGGGAGTAGTGGGGCTTTGAACTAAGATCTTTTCAAGCATAGAGCCTACTCAGGTAGCCAAAGTCCATATCTGGGCATGACATTTTCTGCACAGCCACTGTATGATTTATTGATGGAGACTTCTTGTTATCTGGGCCCACAAAAGGACATGTCACTGATGATTGAGCTGATGGTTCCAGCTTTCCTATTTTTCTCTTCTCCTTCTTCAGCATGGGTCAGGACCCCTTCCCATTCAGGACTCCATGTGATGCCTGTGGCACATAGCTTGTGCTGGGCTCTGTGTAGATGAGCTCTGGGCCTGGTGGGCACTGACTTCAGGCCTTTCTTGGGAACTAACCCCCATCCTCCACCTCAGCCTCAGACCTCTTTGTGGCCATTCTTATGAACCAGAAAAGAAGTGGCCCTCTCTGGCCAGAATGCACACAGAGATCTATGGGGTTTAATAAGGACATCCAAGACGGCATTATTGCAGTTTTCTGGTGACATTCGCTCTTTGGGGAGGTAAATTTCCTTCCTTTTAATCCACTGTTTCTTAAGCAGGTGACCCGCTCCGTGTTATTACAAGCAGGTTATTATGACCATAAATCCTTCTGCTTCTGCTTCTTCCATTTACATTAAATATAGTCTCAGTTATGGCGCCTAAATTAGCTTTCATAGGAGGAAATCTCGGTATAATTTAAAGGGGATGAGGAATATGAGCAGGGAGGGGGAGGGGAGGGAAAAATGAGAACAGAAAGAAGGTTTTGGACCCCAAACAAGGACTGAGCCTAGATTAGACCTTCCAAGATGCTCAGAACCCTCCAAATGAAGGTGTTCTGAAGCCCTGCATCTGACACCTCTGTGTAACATCTGTATTGGAAGGCCACTGGGTCAAAAAGATGGAGACAGTCTTTGCATGATTTCAGCTATTGAGCATTCTAGAAAGAAACACAACTGTGGAGATGAGATTGGCCAGTGGTTGCCAGAGACTCCCTGGGGAGCAGGGCATTTTAAGGACAGTGGAAGTACGTTGTGTGACACAGGGATGATGGAACCTTGATGTCAGTGGTGGCGGGACTTTGGTGTCAATCCATCCATTGCAGGATTTTATGTACCACACAGCCGAGACTTAAATAATAAGGAAGACTGTGAGGTGGGTAGGAAGGGTGTTGGAGAACTCTTTTTTTTTTTGTTTTGCTGTAAAGCCACTAAAAATATAGTCTTGTAATAAAAGAGAAGAGGGCTAGAGAGAGAGAGCTCAGTGGTTAAAAGCCTGTGTGCTCATGCAGAGGTCCTGAGTTTGGTTCCCAGGACCCACACTGGGTGACTCACAACTGCCTCTGACTCCAGTTCCAGGGGATCTAATGCCCTCTACTGGCCACCAAGGGCACTGAACTACTCATGTGCATATACCTCTATGCAATATACATATGCATAATTAAAAATAAAATAATCTTAAAAAATAAGAAAAATGGAAAGGTGGGGAGAACACGTGAGCTCGTGAGAATCTCCGGAAGCTGTGGTGCGCCTGTGGATCACTTACCCACAGTCCTGAGTGGACGGAGGCAGGAAGTGAGTCAGCATTAGGGGGCATGGTTTGTACCTTCAGCTTCCTTTTCCTCTTGACTCCATTCTGTATCCAAGGGGCCGAGCTGCAGGAACGATTCAAAGCCAGCGGGGCATGGTGGTGCATGCCTTCAATCTCAGTACTCACTCTGTGAGGTCAAGGCCAGCCTGGTCTACACAGTGAGTTCCAGGACAGCCAGGGTTACACGGTGAGAACCCATCTCAAAAAACCCAAAGAGTCAGGGCAGGAAAGAGTCAAAGCAAATTCTTGAATGTAAGACGTGTGTGTTTCATTGAAGTTTCTATTTGTGTTTCTCCGATGACTCAGAATGTGAAAATCTAGGCCTGTTTTCCATTTTAGTGTCTTAAAAAAACGTGTGTGTGTGTGTGTGTGTGTGTGTGTGTGTGAGAGTGTGTGTAGATAGATAGATAGATAGATAGATAGATAGATAGATAGATAGATAGATAGAGAATAACCTCCCACTTTCCACCTTGTTTGAGACAGTGCTCCTTATTGCTGCAGACTCCCCATTTCTAGTTGGCTCACTGGGGTTATGGTTGTGTTACTGTGTCTGGCTTTGGTGTGAGTTTTGGGGATCTGAATTCAGGTTATCAGGCTTCTGTGACAAGTGCTTTTATGCCTGGAGCCATCTTCCCGTTCTGTTCCCCTCCTTAACCTTTTGTGTGCACGTGTTTGGGCACATGTGTGGGCACAAGTGTGGCATGGTGTGTGTGTGGAGACCAGCGGACAATCCCCATTGCTGGTCTTCACTACTCATCTCCTTTGAGACAGGGTCTCTTGTCTGTTGACACATAGGCCAGGGGAGCTGGCCTGCGAGCTTCCAGGGATCCCCCAGTCTCTACCTCCTATAGTGTAGGAACCCTGTGTACCGTCACTTCCAGCTTTGAGATGAGTTCTGGGGCCCCCACATGGCCAGTGCTGTACCCAGCAAGCCATCTCCCCAGCCCCGTGCCTTTTATCATCTCAGTGTTATACTGGGTTACATAAGGATTTGTGTGTCTCCTTTCCTGGAGTGTATGTTCCACTCTCTATCTATTATTTATTATTATTTGTTTTGTTATTCTTTTGTCAATTGTATTGTTCTCCATTTTTTGTGAGCTGTCTTTGGTAGATACATGTATTACAAATATTTTCTCTCAGCTTACATTTCCCTTTTCATTTTCCTAATGGAGTCTTTCAGTGAGATTTTTCAATTTTATTGAAGTTAATTTTATCACTAAAAACAAAAAATGATAGCAGGCTGGAGAGATGGTTCAGCAGTTAAGGTACTTCCTACTCTCCTGGAGAACCTGATTTCAGTTCAGCACCCAAGTCAGGGGGGCGCATGACTCCATGCACATGGCATACCTTTACAAACATGTACAAAAATAAAAATAAAATCTTCAAAAATTAAAAAAACCTCTGGACATCAATCAATAATGGATATATGCATGTATCCATATATATCCAAATATACCTATCTAGATATCCAGGTAGGATGGAGCATGCCTGGAACACATTGGAGAGGCCGAGGCAGGAGGATTGCTATGAGTTAAAGGTCAGCTTGGGCTACATAGCAAGTACCAGGTCAACTAGGGGTATTGTAACAAGACCCTGTTTCAAAAAACAACAAAAAAGGTGACTTAATCTTCTTTGTAAGATCTTTTCCAAGTTCACACAAATATTGTTTCCTATGTTTTGAGAAGCCTATAGTTTAGTTTAACCCTTAATACTTAAGTCTGTGATTTTTCTTAAAGTAACCTGTGTATGGTGTGGAGTAGGGGGTCAAGGTATATCTACAGATATTCAATTTTTCTAGCGATGTTTATTGGAAATATTTTTCCATTGAGTTGCCTTGGTACCTAGATAAAAAGCAGTTGACTTTCCCTGGAGGAGATGTGGGGAAATGCCTGTTCTCCCCAGCCAGGTGACAAATGGCAGACCGAAGAAGGATCCTGCCAGTGTTGAATTTTTTTTATTGGGATTACTTACAGGAATATGGATGAGGGGATACTTACAATAATAGAAATGAATCAAAGACAGCTACATCACCAAAGCCCATCCCAGCATGAGTGACCGACAGCTCAGGGCAGCAGGGAACCT